GCTCAGCAGCAGTTCTGCAGAAAAGGACCTAGGGGTTACAGTGGATGAGAAGCTGGATATGAGTCAACAGTGTGCCCTTGTTGCCAAGAAGGCCAATGGCATTTTGGGATGTATAAGTAGGGGCAGAGCGAGCAGATCGAGGGACGTGATCGTTCCCCTCTATTCGGCATTGGTGAGGCCTCATCTGGAGTACTGTGTCCAGTTTTGTGCCCCACACTACAAGAAGGATGTGAAAAAATTGGAAAGAGTCCAGCAGAGGGCAACAAAAATGATTAGGGGACTGGAACACATGAGTTATGAGGAGAGGCTGAGGGTACTGGGTTCGTTTAGTCTGCGGAAGAGAAGAACGAAGGGGGATTTGATAGCTGCTTTCAACTACCTGAAAGGGGGTTCCAAAGAGGATGGCTCTAGACTGTTCTCAGTGGTAGCTGATGACAGAACAAGGAGCAATGGTCTCAAGTTGCAGTGGGGGAGATTTAGGTTGGATATTAGGAAAAACTTTTTCACTAGGAGAGTGGTGAAACACTGGAATGCGTTACCTAGGGAGGTGGTGGAATGTCCTTCCTTAGACATTTTTAAGGTCAGGCTTGACAAAACCCTGGCTGGGATGATTTAGTTGGGTATTGGTCCTTCTTTGAGCAGGGGTTGGACTAGATGACCTCCTGAGGTCCCTTCCAACCCTGATATTCTATGATTCTATGATTCAATTTTTTGTGACACACTGAGTTTGAGTTTGTCCTGCATTTGCCTCCTTAGCACCTCCTTGTGTGTTGTTAGTTTAGTGCCCTCCTGACTGCTCCAGTTAGTTTCCAACTGAGAAGATTGACCCCCTGCATGTGAAATTTAGGCTATCCTGTTCTTACAACCCCTTCTCTCACTGGAATGTGGCCCAATAGTCCATACCAAACTTACAACTTTATCTCAGTCACACAGCCAACAGTTTTTACTGCCCTCTTTTGCTCATGGGACTGGAAAGATCTCTGAGAAGATAACTTGGATCTCTTGGCTTGGAGATATAAAAACAGGCCAAAGTCTTAACACCAAGGCTGTGTCCACCAATTCCCTATGTGGGGCGGGAGAGAGTGCAACACAGACATTTGACTCTCCATAACCATGTTCACATCTGTTGGAATTTCACACACACACACACACACCAATGGAAGGGGACTGGGTCAAAATCATGGAAGTCTATGCATGGAATATTCCTCAGATACATAATTCACTCTCATCTCACCTGTTAACTTTCCCTAGGAATAGGTTTTCAGATTCTTAAACCCAGTATAATCATCCCACAGACACATGAGGAATCTAAAATGAGTTAGAAACCATCAACGTATGAAGGAAAGAGCTGGGATCCCCCTCCCCCAAAAACCCATGAGCTTCTCTAGGTTTGCCTCATTTCCCAAGGTCAGGACTGTGGCCAGCAGGTGTCATATCCTCTTAGAAGACATCACTCATGGCTTCCCACCCACCCTGATAGATACCTTCTCCCTGGGAGTTCAGGTGGGATCTGGAGGCAGAAATTGGTCCCCTTCTCTCTCTCCACTGTGGAAAGAGTTGAGAGAAAGATGTTGATTCAATTCCAGATTTTTTAAATCTCCCATTAGTTATTGTGTTTTCCTCCCCCCCCCCGCCCTCCCCCAACCTTTCTGAGGTTCCTGGCACAGGGAACGGCTCCTGTCTGGATTCTCTCTCAAACCCAGAAGGCGAGAAGGGACAGTGAGTGAGAACACAGAGGAAAATCCTCAGCGGGAAAGCCCTGAGCAAGTGGAACGACATGGGGCATTGTGGGGAAGACCCACTTGTGAGTGTCAATGCAAGGAAGCATCAGACCCCCTGCCCCCACAGGGAAGAATTGGTGCAAATCCACTCACTGTGAGGAAGTTTCAAGGACCTTCAGGAAATCATGGATCAGCAGAGAGAAAGAAAAAAATGTATCAAGTGTCAGAAACAAAATCACTCAGAGCTCAACCCTTCTTTGATATCAGAGACATCACATGGGAGAGACTCCCTATATTAAGAACATATGAATGGACAGAGTGGGTCAGATCAATGGCCCATCTGCCCAGTATCCTGTATTCCGACAGTGGCCAATGCAGGTGCCCCAGAGGGAATGAACAGAGCAGGGAAATTATCAAGTGATCCATCATCTGTCATCTAGTCTCAACTGTCCTGGCAGTTAGAGGTGTAGGGACACCCAGAGTATGGGGTTGTGCCATTGATGGACCTATCCTCGAAGAACTTAATTATTTTTTGAACCCAGTTATACTTTTGGCCTTCACAACATCCCCTGGCAATGAGTTCCAAGGGTTGCCTATGTGTTGTGTGAAGAAATACTTCCTTTTGTTTGTTTTAAACATGTAGTCTATTAATTTCATTGGGTGATCCCTAGTTCTTGTGTTATGAGACGGGGTAAATAACACTTCCTTATTTGCTTTTTCCACACCAGTCATGATTTTACAGACCTCTATCATATCCTCCTTTAGACGCCTCTTTTCCAAGCTGAACAGTCCTAGTCTTACTAATCTCTCCTCATATGGAAGTTGTTCCATATCCCTAATAATTTCTGTTGCCCTTCTCTGTACCTTTTCCAATTCTAATATGTCTCTTTTGAGATGGGCGACCAGAACTACATGCCATATTCAAGCTGTGGGTGTACCATGGATTTATGTAGTGGCATTAGGATATTTTCTGTTCTATTTTCTATCCCTTTTCTAATGGTTCCTGGACTGTGGGGAAAGCATCAATCAGAGCTCAAACTTTACTAACTATAATAAAATCCACAGTAGAGCAAGAGAGGAACAGATAGACCTGTATCTTTGCGCATGCCCAGAGGTGGAAACAAGGGCACCACGGGAAATGTTAGTGCAAAAACATAGGGGCCAACAGAGTTACAGCTTCACGCTGCGAGAACCTTTCACCACTGCCTCCCCTCTGCCAGAGCTGCACACCACGGTGAGAAGTGCGGTTGCAGCCTACCTTTCACTGTGGTGTGTAGCAATATGCATAGTACCTGTACTGTACACGCCACCATAAGTGTAAACAGAGCCTCAGTTGTCTTGTTTCTTCTGTTTCCTTTCTTGGATGAGATGAGATGAAAAGGCTCAGTTCAGATGAGAGTGCTAAGAGCTCAGAGAGATCTGACTTACCAAATTTCAGGCCAATCTGGCTATTTTTATTTATTTTAGAGAAGGGGCAAAAATGGGAATTATTATACACACTCAGTGGCTTTGTAAAGTGTAACCTATAAACCAGTGGTTATTAACCTGGGGTGCATGCACCCCCTGGGGGTGCGAGATGCCCTTTCTGGGGGTGCGAGACATGCCAGATTTTTTTAGAAGGTAAATCATCGAAAACACAAATTAAGCACAGGCACGTAACTACTTTGTTTCATCAAACCTATGTATTTATTAACATTATACATTTAACAATTACTGTAATATACAAACAAAATATAAAATATACAAACAAAATATATCTAGGTTTAAAGAACTGACCTACTTCAATGATTTTTGATAAGGGGTGCGAGAACATATTTTGAGAACCAAAGGGTGCAGGCTGCAGTAAAAGTTAAGAACCACTGCTATAAACCCTTATAAAGAGACGTTGCTGGCAGCCCCATCTTGCCCCATTAAATAAATATGTTTACTCAGGTTCTCACTAGATAAAGGACTCTGGACTCTGGGGAACTCAGCTCATAGAATCATAGAATCATAGAATATAGAGTTGGAAGGGACCCCAGAAGGTCATCTAGTCCAACCCCCTGCTCGAAGCAGGACCAAATCCCAGTTAAATCATCCCAGCCAGGGCTTTGTCAAGCCTGACCTTAAAAACCTCTAAGGAAGGAGATTCTACCACCTCCCTAGGTAACGCATTCCAGTGTTTCACCACCCTCTTAGTGAAAAAGTTTTTCCTAATATCCAATCTAAACCTCCCCCACTGCAACTTGAGACCATTACTCCTCGTTCTGTCATCTGATACCATTGAGAACAGTCTAGAGCCATCCTCTTTGGAACCCCCTTTCAGGTAGTTGAAAGCAGCTATCAAATCCCCCCTCATTCTTCTCTTCTGCAGGCTAAACAATCCCAGCTCCCTCAGCCTCTCCTCATAACTCATGTGTTCCAGACCCCTAATCATTTTTGTTGCCCTTCGCTGGACTCTCTCCAATTTATCCACATCCTTCTTGAAGTGTGGGGCCCAAAACTGGACACAGTACTCCAGATGAGGCCTCACCAATGTCGAATAGAGGGGAACGATCACGTCCCTCGATCTGCTCGCTATGCCCCTACTTATACATCCCAAAATGCCATTGGCCTTCTTGGCAACAAGGGCACACTGCTGACTCATATCCAGCTTCTCGTCCACTGTCACCCCTAGGTCCTTTTCCGCAGAACTGCTGCCTAGCCATTCGGTCCCTAGTCTGTAGCTGTGCATTGGGTTCTTCCGTCCTAAGTGCTATCCTTATTGAACCTCATCAGATTTCTTTTGGCCCAATCCTCCAATTTGTCTAGGTCCTTCTGTCTGAGGAATTAAAGGAGTGGAGCAGGCATCAAAGTTTTTGGGACATCCCTCCCACAGGAAATGGATCCATATAAGTCATGGAGCCCAGCCAGATGTCGCGGTGTATGGAGAGGCGGGGACAAGTCTACAGAGTGAGTGAAAGGCCTGAACTAAGTAGTCTTCCCTCTGTCTCTCTGGCTTCATGGATGAGGAATAGGACATGGGAAAGGAGAGCACCCAAGTCCAAGGAGACTTAGCTAATGGGACTCTTTCTCTCCTGTTTTCCCAGACATTGTCAGGAGGCAGAAGAACCCAGCAACTCGGCAGCAAGGAGCTGATTAGTCATCTCCTTCTTTGCCTGGGGTTTGTAGGCCAGGCAGAGTCAGAGGTCACTGGTCAGCATGGAGTTAGCTGCTGCTGGCTTTTTCCTAGACAGATATTTGACTGTATCCTGCCCATATTTGTGGGATTGGGCAAATGCATTACTCATTTTGGCCAACCTGACTGAGGGCCCGTGGACAATTTCTTTCTCACATGTGTTCTCCGGTGTTTTGTGAGGCCTGTGCTGGATCTGAAGCTTTTCCCACACTCGGGGCATTTATAAGGTTTCTCTCCTGTGTGGAGTCTCCGATGGATAGTGAGAGTTGAGCTGGCCCGGAAGCATTTCCCACACTCAAAGCATTTATAGGGTTTCTCTCCCGTATGGATTCTTTGATGTCTAATGAGGGTCCTGCTGTTTCTGAAGCTTCTTCCGCAGTTGCGGCATACATGAGCTTCATGTCCCATGTGGGTTCTCTGATGGACGACAAGGGCTGAATGAACAGTGTAGCTTTTCCCACACTCAGGGCTTTGATGCGGTTTCACTGACAGGTGTTTCTTTTGATGCTTTTGGAGGGATTCACTCCTGATGAAGGTTTCCACGCTGTCAGGGCATTGGTAGGCTCTCTCCCCGCTATGGATTTTGCGATGCTTATTGAGGGACTTGTTTGCAATGAAGGCTTTCTCACAGTCAGGGCATTTATAGGGTCTCTCCCCCGTGTGCATTCTCTTATGGCTAATGAGGCTTGAGTTGGAGATGAAGCCTTTCCCGCAATCAGGACATCTATAGGGTCTCTCTCCTGTGTGGGTTCTCCGGTGTCTAAGGAGGGATGAGCTACTGCAGAAGCTTTTCTCACACTCGATACATACATGTTTTCTCTGTGCCATCTGTATTCCTTGATGGCTCTTAATGTTGTGGTTTTTGTGACCTTCCCCACTGTGAGTGGATTGAACCCATTTCTTCTCTGGGTAGTTTCCTTGTGGCCTCTCTGGTCTGCCTTGACTCTCACAGGCTAGAGAGACATCCCCTTCTGATCTTCCCGATGACATCTCACCACCTTCCCATTGAGGATCCTCCTCCTCCTTCTCACTCACCATCCCATCACCTGCTGGGACAGAGAGAGAATCCAGACAGGAGTCATTCCCTGTGCTGAGGGGAGGGGAGGAAAGGGAACCTCAGAAATGGGGGAACAAACAAAATAACTGCTGGGAAGATTGAAAAATTAGGAGGCAATTTTCCCCACCCCCAACTCTTTCACCAGAGGAAAGAGAGGAGGGGACCAATTCTGCCTTCACATCCCATCTGAATACTCAGGGGGAGGAAACTACAGCCAAGTCTCAGTCAGGAGGGGTGGGAAACCATGAGTGACATCTGCCATAAGAATACAGCACCTGATGGGCACAAGCCTGACCTGAGTGAGATGAGGAAGAAGTGGAGGCGCTCACGGGGCCTTTGTCATAATCCCACCATTTTCCTTTCCTCAGCCATTGTTTGAGAATGGGTCTAACGGGTTCTTCCTCTGAGCTTTCCTCGGAGCTCTGGATATCTGGGACCCAGGCTTCTTCCCCTCGTTCTAGCTGAGCAAGCAACTCAGGTTGGTAAATCGGAGATCCTGCTTGGGGGAAAGAAACAGGTGACAACAGCGTGAAGCACAGATTTGCAGAGTGTTTGATACAGAGAATGTGCTGTGATTTTTTTCAAACCTAACCTCTTCTTAAAAAAATAAAATCCTCTGCCCACCCACCTGGCTGTTCAAAGCCACAGGACCCTCTGCTAAGAGTGAGGATTTAACTCTTCATGTCTCTTCTGGGAACTCACACAGCCAGATGCCCATCATCAAAGGGGTTCCTAAGTTACATAGAAAACAGCTGCATCTCCATGGATCTGCTCCTTAAAAGCAGAGAGGGGCCAGGTGACTGTGAGAGAATAGTAAAGAGGTTCAGGGCCAGTGAACGCAGTCATTGCCCTGAAAAGTTTGCTATCTAGACAGGGATCAAGGAGTGAGTGTAACAAACAACAAGGGAGAGGGTAGGCTGGTGGAGGGTAATAATGAATAGAACAGGCAGAGACCCACACTAGTAACACCCATGGCCTAAATGAAAATAGTCACATTTTTTAACAAAAGCAACCTCTGTTAAGGAACAAAGTATGTAGGTTACACCGGCAGGATCGGGGACTGTATCATGGGAAGCAGTGACTTTGAAAAGGACTTAGGGGTCATGGCAGATAATCAGCTGAATGTGATCTCCCGGTGCAATGCTATGGCTAAAAGGGTTAACATGATCCTTGGATGTATAAAAGAGGGATATCAAGGAGGATGGGAAATTTATACAGAGTTGATGCGACCATTACTGGACATTGTGTTCAGTTCTGGCATCCACCCTTCAAGCAGGGTGATGAAAAAAATTAGAAAGGTTTCAGAAAAGACGTGTGAGAATGATTCAAGGTCTGGAAAACCTCTCATACTGAGAGAATTAAGAAACTCAAATTGTTTATTTTATCCAAGAGAAGGTTAAGAGGTGACTTGGTCATGGCCTAGAAGCACCAACTGAAGGAGGAGATTTCTGATAACAGAGGGGTTTTCAATCTAGCAAACAAAGGCAGAATAAGATCCAAGGGCTGGAAGCTGCACTAGAGAAATTTGGATTAGAAATAAGATACAATCTTTTTTTAACAGTGAGGACGATTAACCATTGGAACAACTGGCCAAGGGATGAGGCAGATTCTCCATTTCTTTAGATCCAGATTGGATGTCTCTTTAAAAATGATTTGCTCCAGCCCAATCAGTAGTTATGGACTTAAGTGGATGAAATTATCTGGCCTGTATTTTGCAGGAGGTTGGACTAGATGATCATAGTGGTCCCTTGTTGTCTGAATATCCATGAAAATCTGTGTCCATTTTTGAAGTAATCTTTCTTTCTTTCTTTCTTTCTTTCTTTCTTTCTTTCTTTCTTTCTTTCTTTCTTTCTTAACCTCAGCCTATTTCTATTATTTTGATAGACTCTGACTCTTAATTCCTTGGGAAAAGGACAATGGAAATTCCTCAGGAAAATAAAAATTGGACCATGTCACTCAAAGGTCTAAGTCTAAAATTAACCTGTTCAGGAAAGATGGAAGAAGCTGAACAAGGATACCCAGAGTCAGTTACAGCTGCAGGGAAAAGAGGAAGGTAGCAGAAAAGAAGAATGAACTAATGTACCCAAAGAGGCTAAGGAGACTAATGTGAGATTTTACAAAGCTACCAGGTCAAAAAGGAGCATTGGACAAGGCAGATCCATTAACAAATGGAGGGTAAGGAAAAGAATAATGACTCATAGATGACCAGGCACTAAACTTTATAATGGCCCTCTCCAGCAAGTAAAATATGGAGATGCTAGTTGTGGACCCATAGTTAAGATTGACATTAAGGCTAATTTTGCACTTAAAGCAGGATTCCGCCTCAATGTTATGTCTGAAGAACACAGTGTAAACTCCTCAAAATTGCAGCACTTACGTTTTGAACATGGAATCTTTTTTTTGAGAATTTGCTAGTAAATCCATTAATTAGTTTACAAGTTAAAAATAATTAAATAATGGGTCCTTTAAGAAATTTTACCACTTGGTGTCTCACTTTTTTCATTTCAAGTGATCTTAGTAACGTAATAATGCAGATTCTTTAAACTTCCCTTATAGTTAAAACTCACTGGCATCTTCTATATAAGTTTAATTTGAAGGGCTTTTGTGTGTGTGTGTGTTTGTTTTTAAGATTCATGGTCATTTATTGCCGTCATTGTTCATAAATGAAAATTTCTCCTCCAATAGAATAATCTTCAGAAAGTTCCGTGAAGCCCTGCTCTATTTCAAAATGGCTGCCATCTCCTTTTGTTCTCAGTGAGACTAATCCAGCAGTTCTCAAACTTCATTGTACCGTCACCCCCTTCTGACAACAAAAAATGCTACATGACCCCAGGAAGGGGGGGCCAAAGCCAGAGCCCCATCTCCCCAGACAGGGGGCTAAAATTGAAGCCCACAGGCTTCAGCCCTCGATGGGGGGGCCTGTAACCTGAGCCCCACCGCCCAGGGCTGAAGCCCTCGAGCTTCGGCTTTGGCCCCAGGTGGTGGGGCTCGGGCTTCAGTTTCAGCCCCAGACCACAGCAAGTCTAACAGCAACCCTGGCAACCCCATTAAAACAGGGTTGCAACCCACTTTGTTGTCCTGATCCACAGTTTGAGAACCGCTGTCTGCAGGCTGCCCTTAGCAAAGATGGCCACAGTCTCCATTCATTACTACTCTCTGACTCCTGACAACCTACGGTATGTCTACACTACAATAAAAAACCTGGCACCGAGTCTCAGCACTTGGGCTCCAGCCCAAAAAAGGGAAGAAGGAGGATCCTGGGAACTACAGGCCAGTCAGCCTCACTTCAGTCCCTGGAAAAATCATGGAGCAGGTCCTCAAAGAATCAATCCTGAAGCACTTGCATGAGAGGAAAGTGATCAGGAACAGCCAGCATGGATTCACCAAGGGAAGGTCATGCCTGACTAATCTAATCGCCTTTTATGATGAGATTACTGGTTCTGTGGATGAAGGGAAAGCAGTGGATGTATTGTTTCTTGACTTTAGCAAAGCTTTTGACACGGTCTCCCACAGTATTCTTGTCAGCAAGTTAAGGAAGTATGGGCTGGATGAATGCACTACAAGGTGGGTAGAAAGCTGGCTAGATTGTCGGGCTCAACGGGTAGTGATCAATGGCTCCATATCTAGTTGGCAGCCGGTATCAAGTGGAGTACCCCAAGGGTCGGTCCTGGGGCCGGTTTTGTTCAATATCTTCATAAATGATCTGGAGGATGGTGTGGATTGCACTCTCAGCAAATTTGCGGATGATACTAAACTGGGAGGAGTGGTAGATACGCTGGAGGGGAGGGATAGGATACAGAAAGACCTAGACAAATTGGAGGATTGGGCCAAAAGAAATCTGATGAGGTTCAATAAGGATAAGTGCAGGGTCGTGCACTTAGGACGGAAGAACCCAATGCACAGCTACAGACTAGGGACCGAATGGCTAGGCAGCAGTTCTGCGGAAAAGGACCTAGGGGTAACAGTGGACGAGAAGCTGGATATGAGTCAGCAGTGTGCCCTTGTTGCCAAGAAGGCCAATGGCATTTTGGGATGTATAAGTAGGGGCATAGCGAGCAGATCGAGGGACGTGATCGTTCCCCTCTATTCGACATTGGTGAGGCCTCATCTGGAGTACTGTGTCCAGTTTTGGGCCCCTCACTTCAAGAAGGATGTGGATAAATTGGAGAGAGTCCAGCGAAGGGCAACAAAAATGATTAGGGGACTGGAACACATGCATTATGAGGAGAGGCTGAGGGAGCTGGGATTGTTTAGCCTGCAGAAGAGAAGAATGAGGGGGGATTTGATAGCTGCTTTCAACTACCTGAAAGGGGGTTCCAAAGAGGATGGCTCTAGACTGTTCTCAATGGTATCAGATGACAGAACGAGGAGTAATGGTCTCAAGTTGCAGTGGGGGAGGTTTAGATTGGATATTAGGAAAAACTTTTTCACTAAGAGGGTGGTGAAACACTGGAATGTGTTACCTAGGGAGGTGGTAGAATCTCCTTCCTTAGAGGTTTTTAAGGTCAGGCTTGACAAAGCCCTGGCTGGGATGATTTAACTGGGAATTGGTCCTGCTTTGAGCAGGGGGTTGGAGTAGATGACCTTCTGGGGTCCCTTCCAACCCTGATATTCTATGATTCTATGCTTCTATGATTCTAAGCCTGAATCTCTACACTGCAATTTTATAGCCCCACAGCCCCAGCCTGAGTCAGCTGACCTGGGCCAGCAGCAGCCATGCTGCAGGTCTTTGATTGCAGTGTAGACATACCCATAAAGGGCAGCTTGGCTG